GACGCTCCTCATTGTGCTGGGGCGGGAAACCTGGAGATTATTGTGTCAGTGAATGGGCGAAATGTCCCAAACTACGTGCAGTCTGAAGGCCACGCAAGGTTCAGAGTCAACTTCAAGCCCAAAGAAGCCGCCGTCCATACGCTTTCCGTCAAGTTCAATGGCGAGCCGGTTCCAGGTGAGAAATCGCAAGGCAAGATCGAGAAAAAAAGTGTGTGAGATAGAGAAAGAGAGAGAACGTGCGTGCGCGCCAGTGTTTACCTGTCTGTCTGTCTGTGTATTTCTGTTTGTGTTGCATAATGTTCAACTTAATTTAGTATTTAGAATCACTAGCACTACTGACAATGTGCACTCACTGGCTCGCCCGCACGTACTGTAGAGCTTCATTGTGGCCTTATCGTAACCACAGTCGGCGGCCGCACACTAGTTGATAGCATTCATACATTTGTTTATCTCCCTGGTGTGGATGCCTGTTCGCGTTTTTCCTCGGCCATTCTAGGTCAGGATGTGCGCTCAGTGTTCGCGGCTGACGTGTGCACGAAAGAAGGGGAAATGAAAAGGTTTTCAAAGGTAAAATCATCGTGATATAAGCTCAAGGGTATAGCACAATCGTTGCTTAATGAATCATTTAGTGTTGGGTGAAGCAAGAAATGTACCATGCATAAATATAAACTGCCAAGACAATATCTACAAAGACATCGTAATCCCGCGACATTATTGTAAATATGACGTGGTTTACATTCACGTGAAGTTCCTGACGAAGATGCTGTGTTAGTATTAGATTGCAGTTAATATACCGTATTGGTATCAGATTGAAGTGGAAATTTACTTTGTTGGTATCAGATTGCAGAGGCAATATGATGTGTTGATATCAGATTGCAGAGTCAATGTACTGTGTTGGTTTCAGATTGCAGAGTCAGTATACTGTGGTGGTATCAGATTGCAGAGTCAGTATACTGTGTTGGTAGGAAATACAGTCAGTATACTGTGTTGATATCAGATTGCAGTCAATATACTGTATTGGTATCATATTGAAGAGGCAATTTACTCTGTCGGTATGATTGCAAAGGCAATATGCTGTGTTGGTATCAGATTGCAAAGTCAATGTACTGTGTTGGTATTAGATTGAAGAGGCAATTTACTCTGTTGGTAGCAAATAGCAGAGTCAATATACTGTGTTGGTATCATATTGCAATGTCAGTGTACTGTGTTGGTATCAGATTGCAGAGTCAGTATACTGTGGTGGTATCAGATTGTAGAGTCAGTATACTGTGTTGGTAGGAAATTGCAGTCAGTATACTGTCTTTATATCAGATTGCAGAGTCAGTATACTGTCTTGGCATCAGATTGCAGAGTCAGTATACTGTCTTGGCATCAGATTGCAGAGTCAGTATAATGTGTTGGCATCAGATTCTACTGACCTCTGAGTTTCCACAAAATGTGTGCTGTATTTCCATTGATATACTTAACTTTGCTTTGATAACATGCAGTAATGGTACTTTCATATATAATATTGCTTTTGTAGAACCCTTTTCCACTTTTGGTAAGTGGATATGGATTTATTTTCCTCCTATAACTTTTTTTACTTGCAAAGTTTTCTGTAAAATATGAGCATTCCACTTCAGACGTAAGATTAATAATAGATTCACGGTTCGAAAGCAGTGGATGAAAATTCTAACCCATCTACCTGCCAGGCTCGCCGTTCAAGTGCCGAGTGAGCGACAGCAGCCAGGTAGTCATTTCGGGCGCAGGACTCAAGATGTCGTCCCTCGCGCGCACCGCCGTGTTCACCATCGATCCTCGCAGCGCAGAAGTCACCGACTGCATTGTTCAAGTAGGTCCTTTGGCTCGAGGGCTTTATGTCCCGTCGGTCATACTCGATCTGGCTCTGATCTTGGAATGAGAATTTGGAGAATTACTTCTCTTTCGTCAAAGATAGCAAAGAAGGCAAATGCACACAAAGTCTGTTTACTTGTTACAATACGTGACTATAGGCAGTTATTATTTTTCTACGTCTCTCCAGGTAACATCTCCCTCAGGCTCTCGGATACCAGTGAAGATTACAGGTGAGCTTCCCAACAAGGTGACTGCAGAGTTTCAACCGAGCGAGGTCGGTCCCCATACCATCAACGTCCTTATGGACGGTGAGAGCGTCGGCGGCTCGCCATTTACCTGTAATATATACGATGTTACTAAAGTCCAGGTTACTGGCCTTGACCACACCAAGGTAAGTTTTCAGCTTTCGCGTATTTGTCAAACATGTTGAAAACACGTACATGTAACTGAAACCGAACAATTAGGTTAGATAGAGAAGTTACCCCACCGCTGTTAGCGTGCTCTATCACCCCCCCTAGGTGAATCGCCCTGTGACCTTCACAGTGGACGCGTCTCAGGCGGGCGAAGGCACCCTGGAGCTCGTAGTGACCACCGCCAAGGCCTCCGTCAGGGCGGAAGTCGCGGCGAGGTCCCGAGGCTTGTACGATGTCACCTTCACGCCGCACGAGCCCATTCCGCACTTCGTGAACATCACATTCAACGAGGAAGACGTCCTAGGTCAGTCCTTGCGTCTGCGCGCGCACACATATATTTGTATATATTCTTACTCACACACACACACGCACGCACGCACGCGCACACGCACGCGCACACACGCACACACACACACACACACACACACACACACACACACACACACACACACACACACACACACACACACACACACACACACGCACACGCACACGCACACACACACACACACACACACACACACACACACACACACACACACACACACACACACACACATACATATACTTATACATATACCTATTCATATACGAAAATGAAATTAGCCACAATGAGAATTGAAAATGACGTTTCGAACTCTTCACGAGTTCCTCTTCAGACAAAAACCGGAATGGATACCACGAGAGAATTTTGACGTTTATATAGTGATAGAGAGACAGAATGAAAAAGATCTGAATCAGGTCTCAGGGGGAGGGTCAAGGTCGAAGAGTCTGGGGGAGGCTTTGCTAACAAATGACGAGGTAATATCATCTAATTCCCATTGGCCAGCACTCAAGTTAAAATTAGGCAATGTCCTAATTAAAAGGGCTTCAATTATTTTTCTTTCCAATTTAACTGATGTCCTTCATTACGTAAATGAATAAAACAAGCATTAGATTCTCTGGTGTATCTGACATCACGTCTATGTTCTTTAATTCTTTTTTCAAAAGTTCTGCCGGTTTCGCCTATGTAACATTTCGGGCAATCCTTGCAAGGAATCGTGTAAACAGCTGGAGAGGTATCAATAGCGCAGCTAGTTATATTATGCCTAATCAGAGTATTGCGCAACGTGTTCGGGTAAGTTAAAACGGTGTCACTGCCAGTGTGGAGAGGCCTTCATCGAGGTAATCAAGAGCTAAGGTCTTGTGGAGGTAAGGTGAAGTAAACGCTGAAGTGCGGAGAAGTCTGTCTATTTTCGGCTAAAAAAAGTTAAAAGTGTGTAAAGAAGATGGGGGGAAGGAAGAGTGGGGATAGGAGAAGGAAAAGAATTTTACGAGAAGAAGAAGGAGCCGGGGCTTCACCCAGCCTGTGGGGTAAACTTGAGGTAATAGTTGGAGTGGGTTTGTTGAAAGGGGAAAAGGGTTGAGGGGCCCAGCGCCATCGGCAGACTCGCGTGTTCGCCGCGCGGCCACACCCCCGCGGGTCCGTGTGGCGAGGCGCGGCCGCTACTCGTGGCGCGGCGAATACCCCGCGACCTTGAGCGCGGCTCGCCCCGCCACAACGTTCCCACGGGGCGTGGAGCCTCGCTATGACGAACACGGAGCCTCTCGGCTAACTGAGGGGGAGGGGAAAGAAGTTAGCAGGTTTTTGGCGTCATCTGCGGTATGCTCGAAGCCACGGCCTCTCGACCGTGGCTCCAGACCTGTCCCTCGGCTAACCATCACCGCTGAAGCAGGATGAAGCTCGAGTGAGGCCACACAGGCTGGCCCCTCCCGCCCGGGTCGAGAGGAAATTTCTCTCCCTCGGCCGCAGGTCTTCCGGAGGGGCGCGGCTCGGGCGGCCTCACCACGATTAGGTTAACTCCACTGGCCATGACGCTTCTTTCCTTGGCTCGCACAAACCCTTACGCTAAAGGGTTTGTGGTCCTGGCACGAGTACTAGCAGCAAGCGCCACGTGTCGGAAACCGAAACCAGTGGGATGTCAGGGTAAGGATAAGGATGAGGGTCAACGCTATGGCAAGGATATGGTATGTGATGGGTGAGGTGGCGGTCACAAGCGTCAGGAGACGAGGTGAAGGTATTTAAAAACGGGGATAAGAGAGGGCAGTACCTGGGGGAGATTACTTTATTAAGGAAATTAAAAGAGGTACCGGACCACAAACACCAAAACAATAAGTGAACAAGCAGAAAGAGAACACGAAAACAACTGAACAAAACGAGTGTATAGGGGAAGGGGAAATTTGAAAGGAATGAGTAGAAGGTGGCTTCAAAGTGATGCGGCAAAACCCGAAAAACTGCATCATTCCCTGTCCCATGCCAAAGAAAGAGATCATGACCTAAACCTGATCTCCAGCCGGAACTAAGGATGGAGGGTGAGTCCATCCAGCCAGTGGTGAGTTTGTTAGTCTGTCTACAGGGCAACCTACCCCACATGATGTTAAGGAGGAAACGAGGGGCTTCCTCACGGAGTTCACTACAGGGAACCGTCTGAGTGCTTCATTCAATCAGAACAAGCTGGAGTTTGTGTTTGCATTAGTGAGAGTAGAGTGTTTGTGTGTGAAGGAGAGAGTTTTTGTTTTGTTTAGATGCAGCTCGTGCGTGGGATTGCGCGTCTAGATCGACCTAGCCAGCACAGGGTCCTCAACCGAGATGGAAGAACCCGTTCCGGCTCGGTCGGTCGTCAGTTAGTCACTCAAGGTAAACCCATTCTACCTGGGTTTACCTTGCGTGGCGTAACCTGATCCCTGTAGCGGCTCCGCGATCGATGCGCGATCGCCGGCTCCTCGAGGTCAGGCAGGGAGTCCTGTGAACCGGACACGGCGCGGAAGTCCTGGGAATCGGCGGACCAATTCCCGATGCTCCCGCGCTGTCCCAGGGGTCCCCTGGCAGGGAGCCCAAGCCCGGCCTCGAGAATGCTCTCGACATCGATGTCGGAGTCGCTACTGTCGTCGTCAAGAATGGTGTCATCCAATCTATGACGACGAGCTTGAGGGATAGGAGGATCCTTTTTATCTTTCTTGGAGTGCGTGGATGGTGGTGTGGTTTGTTTGCGTTTGTGATCAGTGGTATCTGTAGAATGGCGTGCCTGTGCTGTTTCTCTATGTCTTCGTTGTGGCTGAGGTTGCAAAACGAGGTGTCGGTGTTGTGAGGAAGAATGAGGCTCTGGGTGAGTGTCTGTCACCTCATTTCCTGTGGTTTCTGTGCTTGTTGTGGCGTACTCAGGGATGTATAGGTTTTCTTCTCCAAAGATTTCCTCAGGGACAACAATGCTGGGGAAGCCGTTTCTTTGGAGCATAATAGGGACAATGTTTGCGAATCTTTTTGCGTTGTTTTTGGCAGCGATGAGACTTACGTTTAATATGGCCTGATTTTTGGGTTTGTGTTAGGTGTGTGGGTGCTTGTTTGGGGTTTTGTGGGCAGAGTTGTCCGAGAGGAAGTCGTGGGTCGTCTGGGTGTGCTGGTCTGAGCAGGTTGTGTAGCAGCTGTTGTTGCGTAGGAAGGGACAGTGTTATTGTCTTGGCGGAGCTCAGCTCGTTTTGCCTTTAGTATTTCCTTCCGTTTAGGGCAGGATCCACTAACTGCGACATGCGATCCCTCGCAGTCGCAGCATTTGATGGTTTCAGTGCACCTGGCGAAGAAATGACCGTCGCCGGCGCACCGAGAGCATCTCTGGGGGTGTGTGCATTGGTGTTTTTTGTGGTGAAAGCGGTAGCAGTTTAAGCCTTGGTCGATGTGAAT